TGAAGTTTTATTTCTGGAAAGTTTCACTACGTAGCTAGAATTCCCTACGAAGACCAGGCTAGCCTCAAATTTATGGCTGCTATTTTACCTCTGCCTCTTGAGTGTCCAAATAATAGATGTGAGCCACCATGTCCCAATTGGTTACGCTTTTTGAGATAGTCTCAAAGCCTACTCTGACCTGGATCTTGATTTGTGTGTAGCCCAGGGTAGCCTTGGACTCGCCCCTGAGGTCTAGGATCACAGTCATGCACTACAGAGGGGAACGTTTCTGCAGAATGTGAAAAATCACATGCTCCATTCAAGTCTTACTCTGTGTTTTATTAGCACTCGTGGATAACTGACAAGATGTACAGTTGTCAAGCAGAACACACGAGAAAGCCGGGAGGGATATGTAACACGCAAGCAAGTTGTAAAAGTCGGAAATGGGGTGCCAACGGAGCGAGCTTTCAACCCAAAGTACCATGCTAAAAGGAAATCCAGAACAAACTACCAATCTCTGGAAAGGCTTTGCATAGCATTAACACACGCATCCAGTTTATCTCAAGAATCCAGACAAGGTTACAGTGGAGGACAGCGAACAGTGTTTTCTTGGAGGGCATATCATATGCAGAACTAGAACGCTGTCTGCCTGTAACTAACTGTGTTAGAGGCTAAGACTGAGCAGCTCAACAAATACTGTTGCTTGGTTTAAGCCCCTTTAAGCAAACAAATCAACAAGGTGAAGACTGTTTGCTTCAATTCTTACCTTGGAGGGCTGGGAATGCTGCTCAGTTAGTATCTTGCTTGCCTGGCATGCTTGAGGCCCTGGGTTCAACTCCCAGGACCCTGTAGACCCTGCTAGGTACTACACCTGTGATTTCAGCACTCAGGGCAGGTAGAGGCAGGAGGATCAGAAGTTGAAGGTTAGTATAACTCATTACTTAGGGAGCTTCAGGCTCTCTCTAAAAAAATGCAAGAGGGACATGACATATTTTCTGAATATTGAAATCTCTACTATTGTTTTGTGAAATTCCCATACTTTATATTCCACTATAAATAAGGAAGGGAGGTCCTTCTTCTTTTAAAATAATTCCAGATGTTCATATATTAATAAAACTTTTCTATGCTAATATATATGATATCCAGTATCATTTACAAAATTTTTGCACAGGCCCTAGCATCTGTTCGTAGTATGATCCCATAAACTTTGGGTAGAGTTTGTAAAAGTTCAATGTAATTATCCACCCCACCCCCCACCATGCCACAAGCAATTCTAAAAGCATGTCAAGCTATCATGCTAACACTGGACTCCTAAATCAAAAGAGGGTCTAGGACAGTATTTGTGGTTCTGCTATGTGATGCTGTTCATCACAGTTCTTTTTTGGGGGGGATCTGAGGATCGAACCCAGGGCTTTGAGCTTGCTAGGCAAGTGCTCTACCACTGAGCTAAATCCCCAACCCCTCATCAAAGTTTTAGAACACACCCTGGATTTTGACTAAGTTGAGGTCACAATACTTACCACACCTACTGTAGGAACATTGAGGTCCCATGCATCTGTCTACTTTGACAGCTCTGCTCCCTGCAACTGCCAGATTCAAGTTCTAGGATACCCCAAAGACCCACTAATATCATATCGTGGATACCAGTCTACTGTGAGCTGTATTTCTCCAGAGTTCCAAATGTCTTTTTTATACTAAAACAAAACAAAAAGCCTCTACTGAATGAGCAGATATTTAGCTCAGGTACGGATAAGAAGTATGAGCAGAGAAGCTGATGTGGCACTGTCTGCCAATTCCACCCCAGAGAAGGAAGGCTCCACTGCCATGGTGTCTCCAGTCTCCCACAGCAAAGCAACCCTGGGATTTGTAATCCTCAGCAAGGGCACTCTGCATTCTGACGCTTGCCTCTAATGAGTAGCTGTGTGGTTTCTCAGCCACCTTGCTACTGAACTTCATCCACGGCTTTATTATAAACTGAGAAGATTCAAAATAGAGGTTCTCAAACAACACAGATTGCTTTGTCTATCTCTAGAGTTTCTGATTAGAAGAGAACACGTTTATTTCTATTTATATATTTTGAGAGTACTCATTCTAAACAAGTTCCCAGGCGATGTTGATAGTCAAGGAACTATGCTTTTGAGAATCATTAATAAAATCTGTATCATCAATACAATTTATATAATTGTCTTTCTTTTGCTTTCAACAGGATTAAGGGAAAACTTCACCAAATATAATCCAGCATACATACCCTATAGTTAAGTCTTCTAATATTTGATGGCATAATTACTGCATAGCATTATAGGGGAAGACATTGAGCCTCAGACATGAAACTCCTTGCCCCGCACTATACACTGAGGAGTTGGTGAACAGTGTAAGTTTGCCCATCTCTAAAGTCTATATTATGAAGCTATTGGTACTGTATTTGCTCACACTTGTAACTCCATTCGACTTTTTAAATTCTATTTTCTATGAGATGCTTTTGTTTTCTGTTCTTAGTCTTTTCATTGTTATTAGCCGGCTCAACTCACCATCAGAATAAGTGAGTGAAATCTACCTTCTGAAGAGGCAGACCAAGTGTTTGAGGTAATTAACTCAAGAAACTGACTACATCCCCAACCAAAAACTTCACCGAGAAGCCAGACTGAAAGAAATGGTCCCTAAAATACCCAGTTAGTGTGGGATGCATTATCATATAACCCAGTATGTTTGGTACACAATAACAACAATTAGAAACGACACAAGAATAAACTCCTTTCTGTTTGTTGCTATTCAAGTTCAAAAAACAAAATACCTCATTTGATTTATTCAATGAAGACCACGGAGTTGTCTTAGTTTGATTTAAAAATAATGTTCAAACCCCTAAACAGTAAGAAAATGTTTCAAGCAGTATATTTGGAGCTAGCAGTCAAGGAAGGCTGCTTAATTACATGATGACTCCAGGACCTTCTCAAAAGACCATTGTTCTGAGTTAATTAACATGAATGAAAACATCGGGGCACATTCCCATTAGGGTCAATTACTCAGCCCTAGTCAAGGCGGCCAAGAATTCCCCGGAGGGAAATCGGTCACTGCTGTTCACCTGTGAGACATCTATTGCTGGGGGGCTTCACCACAGCCGGGAGCCTTCTGCAAAGACATCTGCTCCATATTGGATTTGCTGCACTGATGGGCGTGTGTCATGGGCAGAGGCGGAGCCAGTGCCCAGGCAGTCAATAGAGCCCTGAGGAGGGGTAGGACACATCCCTAGTGGTTAGGGTTGTCCAGGGGACACATCCACCTTGCTCGTTCTGGTCTCAGACTGGCTGTATGAATATTAACGTAAGTTTGTGGTCCCAAAGGGATGAGGGAGCGGTTAATAGGGAAAGGCCCCTTAGCAGGGCCCAGCAGTGGATTCGTGCTTTGCTAGGAGTTTAGTCTTTGGAGGGGCAGACTTTATCTCTCAGAGGCACGTGACGGCCCACCATCGTCATCTCTCAACTTCGGTCCCTTCTGTAGTGGGGCAGACACAGTGACACCGTTTTAAATGCGCAAGGCTCAATACGGGTGGGCTACGATCGCCTACGTGAGACAGGTCCATCTCCACACTAGCAAAGTTGACTGCTCACTCATATCACAAGGAGACACCTTGTCCGTTTTTCTTTTCTTTGGCCTTAGGTCAAGGTGATTCTCCTGCCTCGGTTTCCGAAGGGCCAGAATTCCGGGTGTGAGTTACCACACCTGGCTAAGCATGGCTTACTTTTCAGCTGCGTCTTTCCTTTTCACTTGTTGCTCCCTGTGTGATCAGGAGCCACCCAATTAATCAGAAAGAGTTGGGGAAATAGACTTTGTTCATCAAAAACAAACCAACAAACAAACAAACAAAACCTAAAATGGAAATAAAAGCTTTTAAGAAGGAAAGAAAAAAGAGAGAAAAAGGAATCAAGTTCAAAACAAGAGTAACAAATGTTTATTTTTCAGCCTTTCTTCACTGGATATAATTTTCCTTTCCCAACTGTTAAAGATAAATGTCGGGGAGTAGGAGAAGAAGAGGGAGGGGAGAACAGTGGGCGATATGTAAGATGAAAAATAAACTTTAAATAAACAAGTAAACCTTTAAAAAAATTAAGTGAAAAAAAAAAAAGATTAGATGTCAACAAGAATTACCATTTGTGCGTTGTGTATGTGTGTGTGCACGTGCCCCAGAAGTGACTTTGTCGGGTGCTAGATGCATTACCTGGCATTTGTCATGTGATCAGCGAGGGGAGAAGGAGCCTAAATGGTAATGGAATGCTACACATACCAGAAGACTCAATTATAACGCATTTATCTAGCTAGAGTGAACTTGCTTGGGTATCGTAACTCACTCCTGTAATCCCAGCACTCAGGAGGTAAAGAAAGGAACAGCAGGAGTTCCAGGTCACCACCAGCTACACCACAAGTTCAAAGCCAGCTTGGGTGGTCTCAAAAAAACAAAGAAAAACAAAACAAAAACAACAACATCACCAAAAACAACAACAACAAAACAACAATAACAAAACCAGGGCCTGGAGAGATGCTCAGCAGCTAAGCGCATTGGCTACTCTTGCAGAGAGGACTTGGGTTCAATTCCCAGTACCCACAGGGCAGCTCACAACCATCCATAAATACAGTTCCAGAGGATCCCATGTTTTCCTCTGGCCTCCATGCGCACTAGGCATGCAGTACCCATACATACACGAGGCAAAACACCCATGCACATAAAATAAAATTAAATCTTTAAAACAAAACAATTCTTTTGTTGTTGCTCTGAAGAAAGCGGTTAATGACTACAGACACCGTGTAACTGGGGATCCAGCAAACAGGAGAGGAATGTCCTTCTTTACTTTTATCACAAGATCCAGGACCCTTTATTCCCAGCCCTGAGCTGCTGGACTTCCACAGCACACTTTGAGGTTCTTCGTTTCAGACTAACCATTCCGTTTTCCTGATTCTCATGGAACAGCACGACCATCTGTTCCGTGCCACAGGCAGATCCGGAATTGAGAGTCGGAGTCCTTGGTCTTCGCCTGGCTCTGCTCTCGGAGGGCTAGCAGTCTTTGTGAAGCTTCATGTGGGCATAGAAAGCTTCTTGATCCAGGAAGCCTTTCCCACAAATGCTGCAGGAGCCATGGTCGTCCTCCTTGTGTGAGCGCCGGACATGGCTGTCGTGGGCAGCGTGGGATGCAAAAGGCTTACCACAGTGCCGGCACTTGAAGGGCTTCTCGCCTGAGTGCTGTCTAATGTGTGTGCGGAGGATGCTGGAAGCAGTGAACTTCTGCAGAGGGCGGAAACAGAAGGAAAACCAACTTCCGTGGGCTGGACAACACAACAGACGGGCTCATTTCATTGTAAGGGACACATCGGCGCTTTTTATTTATTTATTTTTTTAATGAGAAACTGATTTTGCCTGGTGGTGGTGGTGGTGGTGGTGGTGGTGGTGGTGGTGGTGGTGCACACCTTTAACCCCAGCACTTTGGAGGCAGAGGTAGGTGGATCGCTGTGAATTTGAGGTCAGCTTGGTCTACAGTGTGAGTTCCAGGACAGCTGGAGATGCACAGAGAAATCTTGTCTCAAAACCAAAAAAAGGAAAGGGAAGGAGAGAGAGAGAGAGAGAGAGAGAGAGAGAGAGAGAGAGAGAGAGAGAGAGAGAGAGAGAAGAGACTCTGATTTTCTGTCTATGTAGAACATTTGTGTGACGTCCAGAGCAGTGACCTTAATAAAGAAAGGACTGGACTGGGCATGTGAGATGGCTCAGCAGGTAAAGGAGCCTGACACCAGGTCTGATGACCTATGTTTGATCCCTGGGACCCACACATAGAAGGAAAGAACTGACTCCCCAAAGTTGTGCTCTGATCTCCCATCATGGCACCTGACTCCCCTCCTCCATGCATACACAACACTAAATAATCTGAATGTAATTTTAAAAGGACAGCTTTCTCGCCCTGGCCAGTTTGAGTACCACACATTAAAACAACGCATCTTCAGAGGTTCTTCACCAGGACTGCTAGGTAAAGATGCAGATTGTTGGGCTGGGTTAGCTCAGTGATAGGATGCTTGCCTTGCAGCTTTGAGTCCCTGGGTTTGATCTCCAGCATCATAAAGCGGGGAGTGGAGCACACTGTAAACCTTAACCCTAGACAGTGTGGCCCAAAAGAATCTAAGGTATGATCTGAAAGCAGCGTGGAAGCAAGCACTTCTGCTTTTAGAGACTGGAAAGGGCACAATAGGGTCTCACTATGTAGCTCAGGCTGGCCTTGAACTCATGGGCAATCCTCTGCCTCCCAAGTGCTGAGATTAGAGGCCTGTGTCATTATGCCCACTCTAAACAAGCAGCTCTGAGTGTACTTGAAGAGCGGTGTTACTGAGGAAAAGGCTAATGTTGCTTAGTATCTTTGCACCCAACGGTTTCTAATCGGTTTCCTTCTTTTTGATTCAGTCTTTGATACTGTTGGTGGTGCTGAGATAAGGTCTCTCTGTGGTGCCAAGGCTGGCTTTGAACTCATTATCTTCCTGTGGTTGCCTCCTCAGCCCTGAGATTACAGGTTTGTACTACCGAAATTTAAACTTTGATTGTAGGTTTGCAGTAAATTGTAAAATGCGCAAGGGTGGTGGTGCACACCTTTACTTGGGAGGCAGAGCCAGGAGGATCTCTGTGAGTTCAGGGCCAGCCTGGTCTACAGAGCGAGATCCAGGACAGGCACCAAAACTACAGAGAAATCCTGTCTCAAAAAAACAAACCAAACAACCAAACAAGACTACTTTTTTAGTCCAAGAACCCCGCCCCCATTCCCTTCTGCAGCCACAGGGATACCCTCCTTTTCTCCTTCCTTAGGCTGTGACAACCACAGATGTGTTCTTGGTCTCAAAATCTTGACACGCATGGATCATGCAATGCGACCTTCCAGGACTAATTTTTCCCACTCAGCACAGCTCCCAAATAATCATCAAAGTTATGTTTTTCAATGGTTCCACTATTCCTTCCTTGTGTGGTATGCAGCAGTGAGTGGATACATCCCAGACTGTCACATCTGACACTGGACATCAGGCTTGTCTCCAGATTGGGGCCATGATGTTTCTTTGTTGTTATTTGAGTTGGGAGGCGGGGGGGGGGGGGGGGGGGGGTGTCCTCTAAAAGCCTAGGGTGAGACTTTGTTTTACGTTTGTTTGTTATGGGGGGTGTAGGTTAAACAAAAGATACGCACGTTGGTTCTCCTCTTCCACCACGTGGGCCCTGGGGGGTCAAGCTCAGGTTGTCAGACTTGGCAAGAGGCACCTTTCCCCTTCCATGCCTGACCCTTACATGTTGGGGTTGCAGGCGTGTCCTGGCTTAGACTGAATGCCTTGCTCCCCTCTGGGAAGTTTGGCAGTGTAGTGGTATTTGCTCCGCCCATGACCTTGGGCTAAACGGCCCAAAGTGACCTCTTATGAGGGGTTCGAGAAGGGTCACATGCCCCTTCTCCCTGTTCCTGCCTGCGAGGTGGATTCACTCCGGTCAGATCAGAGGACGACTTCCCCTGTCTACTCCATTCTGTATTCAAGAGTGTATCTCCTCAATTTATATCTTAATAAATTCTATTACCCATTTAATAGACTCACGTGGATTAATTGTAATGTGACAGTCTCTCTAAGACCACCCTTGTAGTGGTTTGAAAAAAAAATGGCCTTCAAAGAGAGTGGCACTATTAAGGTGTGGCTTTGTTGGAGTAGGTATGGCCTTGTTGGCGGAAGTGTGTCACTGAGGAGGCCGACGTTGAGGTCTCGTGTATGATCAAGCCATGCCCAGTGAGACAGACCACTTCTTGTTGCCTGCAAGTCAAGATGTAGAACTCTTGGCTACTTCTCCAGCACCATGTCTGCCTGCACGCCACCATGTCACACCATGACGATAATGGACTAAACCTCCAAAAGTATAAGCCACCCCAATTAAATGTTTTTCCTTCATAAGAGTTGCCATGGTCATGGTGTCTCTCCACAGCACTAAAACCCTAACTAAGACACCCCTCTTTTCCCTTTATAGCATTATTGTAGGACCTGAAAATGCCAAAGGACAGAAACAAGCCTAGAGTGCCACTCTCCAATGGGACTGTGCTCTGTGGATGTACTGTCCACCTTATACCTGTGGCTTCTGGGCACTTCAAGTTTGGCTAGTGAAACCAGGGAGGACATTTCCTACTTATTTCCCCTTCTTTTGTCGTTGTTTTCTTTCTTGCTGTGTAGTCTAGGCTGGCCTTGAACCCATAATCACCCCACCTCAACCAGAGATTGCAGACGGGCTCCACTGTGCCTGGGTGTTTTCACTTTTGTGCCCTCAAACACCCACACAGGGAGAAGATCACCTACACACTGCACAACACAGATGCACACTGCAATTAAAACGCTTTATAATATTCCTAAAACACGCTCAAACCATTGTCCATTCCAGAATCCAAACCCTTGATCCCTCTCTACCTCTATTGCTTGATGTTCTGTGATGCAAACATCAGATGTCTCCCCCTGCAACGTCCATCTAGAATGATCAGCAGCAGTATCAGGAGCCAACACTTCAGTGGTTATAATTAGTCCGGATGTAAGGTTGTTGTTGTTGGGTTTTTTTTTTTTGTTGTTGTTGTTGTTTGTTTGTTTTTCAAGACAGGGTTTCTCTGTGTAGCTTTGCGCAGTTCCTGGAACTCACTCTGTAGCCCAGGCTGGCCTCCAACTCACAGAGATCTGTCTGGCTCTGCCTCCTGAGTGCTGGGATTAAAGGCGTGTACCACCACCGCCAGGCTTACTTTATCTTTCTGAGACATGGTCTCACTTTGTAGTCCTAGATGGCCTAGAATTCACTTGAAATGTGTGCTGGCTGGTAATCAACTATTTACCCAAGATGAACTATAAGTCAGGTTTCATGCTTCCAGTTACAGACGGCTGACAACAGACGAGGTCTCACCTACCTTTGTACAATACACGCACTGGTATGGCCTGTCTCCGGAGTGCACGCGCATGTGCTTGTTCAGGCTGGAAGACTGCGAGAAACTCTTCCCACATGTTGAACACTAAGAAGGAAACAAAAATTAGAGTCGAAATTTCATCTTCCCCCCCAACAATTCTGTCTCAACATCATGTTTTTCTGGAGGCAAGAGAAGTTTTAAAAATCGGTTACTTATTTATTTGTTTAAAGAAAGGATCTTTCTATGTAACCCTGGCTGTCCTGGAACTCTCCTTATGTAGACCAGGCATGCTCAAACTCACAGAGATCCGCCTGTCTCTGATTCCCATGTCCATGCCCCACCACAATTTACTTATCATTATTATTAGCGTGTGTGTGTGGGGGCCTATGACGTGGCATCCGTGCGGAGATCAGAGAACCGCTTTAGAGTGGATTCTTTCCTTCAGCTGGTGGCTCCCTGAAGCAAACTCAGGTTGTCAGGCTTTCAGGTCAAGCATTAGAACACTGAGCCATGCCATCCTGACAGCCCAAGAACTGTAGTCTTTATCCTGTGCACACCTGTGGGTCACCAGGACCCTGGCTGACCACGCCAAGCTGCTCAAGGCAGCCTAGAAGATGCCTCAGGCCTTCCTCAGTGTAGAGATTACAGAGCGACCTTAGCTCGCAGGACGAAGTGGTCCAGTGTGTTCCCGGCATCTTTTAACGTTAGCAGCTGTGGCTCAGTGGTGGCACACCCGTTCAGCATGTGCTCACACTGTGTTCAACCCCTAGCCCCAAAATTAAACCAAACCCCATATCCAAAGTTCTGTATGTCGGTTTCTCTTGAGATTTCTTCTTCTGGTGAAATCAAGTATTAATATTGACTTTAAAAAAAAAGAACAAAAAAAAAATTCATCAACTCTCTGGATGTGACTGGCCTGGAAAACCACAGGAAATTCAAGGTGAGGTATTCCTTGAGTAGCTGAGATGGATGCTGTCTCCTGGGTTCAGGGGAGAATTCTTGGGTGGATTTAAACCCCTGGTTAAGCAGTGCTCTTGCTGTTGTGAAGGATGAAATGAGGTAGTAAAACTCATGCAAAGAGAAGGGACCCAAGAGCCTTCCTGTGGCTGGGGAGAGGGTGTAATGGGTGCTTGAGCATGAGGGTGTGAGTTCAAATCCCCAGCACTCATATAAAATGCCAGGTGTGGCCAAGCACACATGTAACCCCGGTGCTGTGGGAAGCTGAGACAGGAGGATTGCTGGGCTTTGCTGGCTGCCAGCCTAGCTCCAGGTTCACTGAAAGACCCTTTCCCAGAAGACTACAGCAGGAAGTGACAAATGAGAAGTAGACTCCAAACAGGTACACACACACACACACACACACACACACACACACACACACACACACACACCACAAATTAAACAACAACTCAAACAACCAACCCGGAATTTAGGGCCTAGAGAGCTGGCTTGGATGAGGAGCACTTGCTAGTCTAGCTGAGGACCTAGTTTGGTTCCCAGCATCCACATGGTGATTCACACCTGGCTGTCAGTTATCATTCTAGTTCCAGGGGATCTGAAGCCCTTTTCTGGTTTCTGTAAGCAACTGAATGCTTACAGAATACACATATATGTGTACAAGATACACATACATCCAGGCAAAATGCTGATACAAAAAAAAATTAAAACAAAACAAAAAAATAATTTAAAACTATGGTTCAGTTGCAGAACACAGTCCAATCCAGAAATATTAAAATGTGGAAAACTACAAACCTTAGTCTTAGTATAAAATGCCTTATAAAATACTATTACAAGAGACTGGAGAGCTGACTTGGTTAAGAGCATGAACGCCCTTGCAGAAGACCCAAGCTCAGTTTCTAGCACCAACGTTATGGCTCACAACCATCTGTAACTCCAATTCCAGGGGCCTCGACGGCCTCTTATCTCTCAGGAACTGTATTCACAAGCGCAAACTCACACATATACACATAACTTTAAAAATACTGTAACAAGAACATGTAGCCCCATCCTTTCTTTAAGAATGAAGTTGATTTTGTCCTTTGGACCAAGCCTGGTGGAGCCATAGGTGTTTGGGATGACAGAGAAGGACTCCCGGGCATCATTACTGCTTCTCATCCTTACAAAGACCGTGGTCTGGGATTATGGCTTTCCTTTCTTTGGACCATTCAAATGCTTCCTCCATAGCAGTGACTACCTAATGCCTGACTGGGTATTAAAAAAAAATGTACAGTTGCTGAATTCTCTCCTCAGCCTCCAGTACAAATCACAGCCCTTCTGTTCTGGACTTAGCCCCAAGCCTCCTTTGTTGTGGGGTAATCTTTTTGTACACTGTAAAGATGTGTCTCTACCTAAATTACTTTTGATTGGCTTAATACAGAGCTGAATGGCCAATAGCTGGCAGGGGACAATGGGCGGGACTTCCAGGGAGGGAGGAACTTGGGATGAACCTGTGCTCTTGGGAGACGCCAGCAAGATGCAGAGCAAGTTGGACCACAGAACAGGAGAGAGGTAAAAGCCATGTGGCAGAATGTAGATTAACAAAGACAGGCTAATTAAGTTATAAGAGCTAGTTGGGAACAAATCTAAGCTAAAGGCCACCTTTTCATAATTAATAAGTCTCTGTGCCATTATCTGGGGGCTGGCAGGCTAAGAAAGGCTGACTACTCTCCTCTTCTCAGGCACCTTTCCTAACCCAGCAGCCCATGCCTACCTGTTTCTCCTTCTGTCCTGGGTACAACTACTGACCCAGGCTCAAGCTCAAACAGCTGCCTCTCCCACAGCACCATGGTGAGGCAGACCTGGACTCCTCCAATCAGTCCCGAGAGCCTCTCTCCATGTATTCAGGATAGGGGTATGTGAAAGTAGATTATGAAGATGAACATCAAACCAACCGCTCACCAGGTAGGGCCGGTGCCTCTCATGGACGTGAAGAATGTGGATCCGGAGTCGGTCACGCTTCTCGAAGGATCGCTGGCAGAGGGAACATGGAAACTTCCTATCCCCCTTGTCCACACAGGGAGTGTACTTGAGGTGCTTATCTCTGTAGTATTTGTAGGTGAACACCTTGCCACAGCGTTCACATCTGTAACCTTCGGTAGACTCTGTCAAAGACAGGGATGTAAGAGCTGGAGGGTGTGTTAACCACCTTCCTCCTCTTCAGTTCCTCAAACAGGATTCGAAAAGCCATAAACAGCTGGGCATGGCGGTGCACGCCTTTAAATTCCAGGGCTTGGGAGCAGAGGCGGGTCTCATGAATTCACACTTACCGAGGCTTATGCACAGGAGATAGGTCACAGAGTGATAGACAGACAAGCCCAGAAGGGTAAATCTGGTTTTGTCAATGGAGAAGAAAGGAAGAGGGCAGAAGTTAGAGGCTAAGTGTCAGATCCAGGTTGTCTGTGCTAGGAATGATGTCATCACCAGAGTCAGGAAGATCAAGGTTTTCAGGTCAGGCAAGCTACAGTAACTGTAGCTCCAAACAAAGACAACTCAAACCCCAAACAAACAAGAGGTGTGAATGTGTTGGGGGGAGGGGGAGAGGCGAGAGAGCATCTCCAAAAGTACCATTTAAGACGCCCTGGATTCTAGCACCAGAGACCTTACTTACTGTCTGCCCTCTAGGGAGCCAAGAATGAGCATAAGCAAGAATCAGCAGGAAAAGCATGCCTTTAATCCCAGCACTGTGGGGAAAGAGGTAGAGGCAGGTGATCGCTGGTCTACAAAGCAAGTTCCAGGACAGCCAGGGAAACATACAGAAACCCTATCTCAAAGAAATAAACAACCAAAGGAAAAAAAAATCAAATTAGCCTCAGGAATCCCTGAATCTGACCAGATTCACTCCCCCACCTCTGCTAGAAGAAACAATAAAAGCTGGAGGCCCCTCAGCAACAAGGAAAGCTGAGCAGCAAGGAACTAAGAGCAGACCAGCTGCCTGGAAGAGGTCTAGACCAACCCAGGCACCTGGAGAGGACGCTCTCCACCCTGCTGAGCCGCCTGCAGGCTGCAGTGAGCGCCAGGATCCCAGTTTTGTGGTGCATGTTCCCACGCTGGGGCGGGCTTGGTGACCTGGCAGCCGGTCTTCGAGTAATTTCTGTTCCATCTCCAGGCTATTCAAATAGCCCACTTCCGATAACTCAGAGTGTATGCCTTTCCAACTTTATGTGGGAAGGCGCCCACCAACCCCACCAACCCCACCAAAATGCCTAAAAAAGGAATTTGATTTTCCTATTTTTCTTTTATGTGCATTGGTGTTTTGCCTGCATGTATGTCTGTGTGAGGGTGTCAGATCCCCTGGAGGCAGAGTTACAGGCAGTTGTAAACTGTCATGTGGGTGCTGGGAATTGAACCCAGGTCCTCTGGAAGAACAGCCAATGCTCTGAACTCTTAGCTGAGCCATCTCTCCAGCCCCAGGGATTTAATTTTTGTCTGGGACAGGATCTCCCTGTGTAGCCCACACTAGACTCGAACTTGAAATCATTCTGCTTTTTAACCTCTTAGTCTAATGATCACAGGATGTGCACCACTGTGCCCAGCTCTTTCGTGTACTATTAATCTGTAAAAACATGGATCTGGGGCTGGGGTGTGGAGCAGAGGTAGAGCGTCCTTCAGCCTTGGGTTTGGTTCAAACCCCATCACAGCAGTGGAACCAAAACAGAGTCATATTAACAAAAAACACAGGAAGTCACTCGTAAGACTTCTCAATAAACTAATCTTGAAGAGCTACCGTCTACACAGTGTCCAAATGTGTGCCACGGGCTGGGTGTGCTGGCGCACACATTTAATCAGCACTCAGGAGAGAGAAGCAGGCAGACCTCTTGTTTTTGTTCTTTTGAGACAGGGTCCCCTCTGCAGGCCAGGCTGGCCTCACACTTGTAATAATCCCCCTGTCTCAGCTAGGATTACAGGCATGAATCGCCACAGTGACTTTGGTTTTTTTTTCCCATGAATTTCCCACAGAGAAACCATTCATTATATACATACTTTTCTAAATTCCATTTTTTACTTCTATGTCAAAAACAGTTGAAGTATTTTCTGGAAGTGACAGAGACAGACTTTCTTGGTTTGGTGCTGAGGATGAGAGAATTTGGATCTCCACAGACCACAGAGAATCGCTCCATCTTCTGCAGCCCTGCTCTGTGCACCTGCTGGAGAAGTTGACGGAGGCCTCACCCTCTCCCCACATCCTCAGGCTTCTTCTTTCCGACCATGGGAGGGCCTGTTCATCACCTCTTGCCTAGTCCCCCGTAGAGGTCTCCTGTTGTCCCTGGTCCAGAGTTTGAGTCACCTCTCTCCCTCTGCCCTGTGGATCCCTTATTTCACTCTCATTCCTAAGCAGCGTTTCCTAATCCAGTTACACTGTCCTTTTCCTTCAATCTGTACACACTGAGAGCAGGATCCTGGGAAATTTAGGAAGTTATGGGCCTTCCCAGCATGGGAGGGCATAGGTCTAGCAGGAATACAGACATGTTGATCATCACCATAGTGTGACAGACACAGTTTACATGTTGTTTTACCTGCTCTTTGGGCTATTTATTAAACTATAGTGAGGCTGTCATTATACATACAGTACTTTACATTTGCCCCCACCTAGTAGGTCGTGGTTTCCAAACTCTTGTGTATAACAACACAAGAGTCAGACAGGTACTATTCAGGAATAACTTTCAAGCTGAGTGTGGTGGCACACACTTTAAATCCTAGCATCCTCAAGGCAGAAGCCTCAAACTCAAGAGTTTGAGGTTAGCCTGGTCTACATAGTGAGTTCCAGGACAGCCAGAGCTACTTAGTGAGGTCCTGTATCAGAAAACTAAAATAAGGAAATAAAAAGTTCAAAGCTGGGCATGACTTTACATGCCTATAATCCTACCACCGGGGCTTGGAGGTGGGAAGACAGTTCAGCCATCCTGGACTGCATGAGACCCTGTCTCAGGCCAAACTCAAACTGGAGCCTGGAAATCAGCTCAGGGGCACAGCACCTTTGGAGCATTAGTCTGAGGACTCAGCACCGCTCTTCTGAAAACAGCAAATTCGGGCTGCTGGTCCTCTGTCTCCTTGCCACTCAGATGTGATCCAGGGACCAGCAGCTTCCTCTGGAAACTGAGCAACAAGCATAGAGAGTCTCAGGCCCCACCTCTGACTAGAACTAGCTAGCATCTCTACAAGATCTTCAAGCACACACACACACACACACACACACACACACACACACACACACACACACCAAAGCTTAACAGTCAGTAGCACCCCTATATTTCCAGCACTTGGGAAGCTGAGGCAGAAGGTTCTGAGTTCAAAGTCAATCTGTGCTTCAAGAAGAAAACAAAAACAAAAATGAGAGAGAGAGAGAGGGAGAGAGAG